GGTTTCAACTCATCTGTGCTCCGGTAAGTAGATTTTTTTTGTGGACAAGTGCCTAGAAAGTGAAATAAGTCTGCGTATAGCTCTATATAGGTTTCCCGATATTCATATTTTTTTGGTATGTGCTCCTGAAATTTGAACAACAGCAAAAGAAGGCGGGAAAGCAAGTGTTCAATTAGCAGAAAACTCTGAAACCACAAAATGTTAAAACTCAATTTGCATTTTTACACACGCAATTAAAGTAAGAGGCAAAAAACAAATCCGAAGCCGAGATATTCTTTTGTTATTTTGTGTGACTGGGAAATAGTAGTAGTAGTAGTAGTAGTAGTAGTAGTAGTAAGAAGTTTTTTCAAACAATATGCAAAAACGAAACAATATAAACAATAAACAAGATGCAAAATAATCACACGCACTCAGTACAATCACACACCATCCATCCACTTTCGTCTGCTTAATCCATTTCTGAGTCGGGGGGGGTGGCAGTCATACAGTAGCTGCACCCAGTACAGAGCATCAGCCCCTGTCAATCACACAAGCAACACAATCACACACACGCAACACAATCACACACTTGCAACACAATGTAAGATGCTAAGACATTACAGATATTTGATTACAGATATTTTGCATGATAAAACCACACTTTTAATTTGACTTTGGTGTACACAATATATATAGCACAACCTTGTTTTCACACTTCCTGAATTTTTGCACACCCTGAGTGATTCTATCTCTGCCAAATGTAACATGTACACATCTCGATTGTGTGATCCATAACGTTTTTTTAATCCTATCTATATTCAGAATTAGTCACTAGTACCGGGATGCTAGTGCGAAAGCTTGCACTCGCCTCATTCAAACTGCGTGCCTCATGAAAGGATATATATTTGCAAACAAGAAGAGACAAGAAAAATTAGGATGTATAATAAATCACCATAGACATAAAAAGTTCAATCAGTGATAAAAACAGTCAGAGCTTCAGATCAATTGAATATAAAGCTTATAAAAAGATAATGACTTCTCCATAACTGACCTGAAGTACAGATCTAATTTAATTTTATGTGAAAGATGGCATCCAGACGTTAAAAAAGCCTCAGTTGTACACCAAGCAGCAAAGTCAGGATCAAACATATAAAACCAACCTTACAGGGCTTAAAGGACAGTTCTGCTCAAAAAGACAACAGCTTCGTTTAAAACATAGGGATCATTCATTCGGGAAAGATGTTAGAAATCAATTTCAAGGCATATTTTGACCGCGGGGTGAAAGAGATATGCAGAAAATAGTCAGACATAAAGCAAATCAGTGGTAGTTCAATTGGTCTCTGGGGAATTCTCAGTTGGCAGAAGAAACGTGATGAAATGCAGTGCAAAGCCTCTTCTTCCACATGAAAAGCAAAAGGTGCAGCAGGGTTGAAAAGAGTTATATCCATACGGGAAATAAGGCTGGAAAGGTTGATTCATGGTTTTAACTGTATGTGGAGCTCTAGACTTGAACTTTGCCATGGCAGACACATTTACTTGGGTTGAGTCACAATGTTTGAGGTTTTACTTGAGTATCGGTTTCACAGCCCTGTTGCTTGTGTCAAAGTTTAATAATTGATCATTCCCTTTTATTTCATGGCATTTCAAGTCTATATTTTTTGTCTTAACTGATTTAGGGCTATACAAGAATAAATTGTATTGTGTAATTGTATTGTAAGACAGTCAAGGACACCTTACAATATAATGAAAAAAATCAATAAATTACAGAATATAATACATTTTAAAATTACAAAAAAGACAGTTTAAAAAGGTAGGTTTTGAGATGTGATTTGAAAATGTCCAGAAAGTCTAATTGTCACAGGTCAAGTGGTGGAGTGTTCCAGAGTTTAGGGGCAGTGGCTGAATGCTCTGGCCTCCAAGTTCAACCTTATCTTCCTCTTTATGATTAAGAATTAATAATTTAAAGGAGTTTGAAGGAGCAGAATGTAAAAATCTGGCCAAAAGTGGTACTGCAACCTCTCCCACTCTCCCTGACTCAGGTTGCCATATTTGCAGACGAATCCAGCTGGGACCACAACAGCTGAATAGACAAAAGTTTTAAAGGTAAAGGTGCACTTTATTTATCCCCGTATAGGGCAATTCATTCTCTGCATTTGACCCATCCTGATGCCGCCAAGGCTTACGCCAGGAGCAGTGGTCGCTGTAGTACAGCGCCCGGGAACCCATCTCCAGATGTTGATGCTCGGCTTGGTCAGGACAACCGGAGCAGGAGGATTTAACTTAGTATGCATGTTTTTAGTGTTAATGATCTTAAAATCATAACGAGATCTTTTTTAGTCCTGCGGCCACATGGTTCTTTACCAGTGAGATTAGCTCGATGCGGTGAGTTCTGGCAACCTGGATCACAGACTTTATGATTGGTAAAACGGTGGAGGGCGGGACATCGAAATGAAAAGACTAAGATTTAGGGGCTGTAAAACTAATTTTGAAATTCAAGTATCTCGGTTAAACAACTTTCATCAGTTAAAGAAGTATCCAAAAAGAGCATAGTTTATTATTGCTTTTTGACAGATTTCAGCCATTTAATGATGAATCGACATGAGAATCTTACCTATTCCTACTTTAGCTGTATGACTAACTTTGATTAGTGATTTTGGGACAGAACAAAAAAGAATTGAAAAATCAGACACTACAGGTGAAAATCAGAAAATTAGAATATAGTTCAAAAATGAATTTACTTCTATAATTTGATTGCCTTTGTTTGTTATCATTTCGGTGACTTCGCCTTGCAGTCCATTTTCAAAACATTCCACATTTTTGAGTGTTATTTGGGGGTTTTAAAAGATGTAAGCCAATTATCAACAGATTAATTATAACAAATTAGGGCTTGATTTATCCCACTTTGCGTGTAATAAGTGGACTTTTGCAGGCTTTTCTCATTTTTGAAGGTAAAGTTTTTCTTCCCAAATATTTGTTAAAGTTACAGGTGTAATTTCTTGTACCAAAACTTTGTAGTCCTAATATCATTTGATTATCACAAGTATTTTGGTTTCATGTTTAGCTGAGCACAATTTGTACACATATCATTTTATATGGAGACATCTTCACTAAAACTCTCTCCTCTGAACTCAGGAGACATTTTTCCATAGCTGAGGTGATTATGATAAGTGCAGAACCTGGAGAATTACACCTCTACAGTGCACCTTGTACTTTCTAGTCATACACTCTGTTTTGAAAGCTTTTCCTCATGTTTTCGAATAGCAGCCGAGAGTCAACTATAACTCAGGCAGACACCTACTTCATCTAACATTGGACATATGGATTTGAACTCCGTGCTATGTCATATGAAATTTATTGACGGAACTTTTCGAGTAAAAAATACATGAATTGGGACAAAAAGAGCATATTTTCACGAGAGACGCTCAAAGGAAAGACGAGCCTTATGTGTCCTGCATTTGGACCCTTCAGAGTGACCGTAAAGACAGAGTGGGGGAAATATGGAGATGAACAGGCCCAGAGGGAGTGTGTCTGGCAGGTCACTGGTCCAGCCGCCGATGCGCTGATGGAGGCAGTGAAGGAAACTCTATATGACATGTTTTATTTTAGCTCAATAAAACTCCAACTATCAGAAAAGATCAGGTTTATAACAATTGTGTTTAGCTGTATATACAACTGAAGGATTGTATATCTTCACTCTTTTAATGTACTGTGATTATGTATGTATTTACATTTTGTACTGTCACTATGTTTGTGTTTATTATTTGTACTGTGATTATGTATGTATGTATCATTTATAATGCCTTATATCATATTCATTTATTTCATACATGAAAGGCCGAAGTCCACATGCACAATGGGAACTTTTGCAAATGTAATCCTATGTGGTTTTAATGCAAATAGAAAATAAAATTAATCTGAATCTTGTTTTGTTAAGCACTTTGATTTGCCTTGTGTGTGGACTGTGATATAAACGGCCATACATTCAGCTTATGTTTTAGAAATGTTTGGCCTGGAGGGTTTGATAATTAAATATATCAACTAATCAAGCATAAGAAGCAGGTTCCCCCCTTTATTGCTTTTAGTATACAGTAGGAGGTTAGGGTTTTTAAATTTCAACAACAAATTTCAATTCCTGCTTTTGTATGTGCCCGTTTTTAAAACTTATTTCACAATTTCACATAGGTAATTGTTTACCTATGTGTTTTTCTGTATTTACTCTTTTTCCCAATTGTACACGCTGGGTATTTTTGCACAATATGTTTTTAACTGCAAATTGCAAATACACTGAAACTGATCTGAAAATGATATGGAAAGATTTTAAATTAAAACAAACAAGAACAACAAGAGATATCTCCAGTGTATTGTCTTTTGACTCATTCATTCGTGTTAGTGACAAATATAAATCCATAAAGATGACATTACTATGATGTTGACAAAGTAAGTCGTAATGAAAGTGTATGTAATGTACCAAAATTAAGAATAAAATAATAATAAAAAAACACAGCGCCTCTCTATGATGCAAAATGAAATACACAGAAATACACAGAGGAACAAGGCGAGGCACAAATCACCAAATGCAATTAGCATGAACTCGAGGTTTACTCATTAGGGATCTGGGACAGTGCAAATGATTACTACAACAAACAAACAGAGCGGTTAAGACGATTTCCAGATTTAGCTTTAAAATGAACCACATTGTGTTCGGAGTTTACCTGGCCTTCTCTTATTCTCAAGCATAGTGTGTCCTCCTAAAGACTATGTTACATGAGTTCACGTAGAGTAATTGCCTCGATTTAAATGACTTTTTCAATTATGTCTTCTTGGCTACAGCTAGAGTGCCGTAATCTCCCTTATTTCCATCCATTACACACTCACAATCCCTTGACAGCAATCAATCTGCTTTCTTTAAAACTCTTCAGCACAGTGGCACGCCATTAGCCCCGAAATGGCACTGGCTTTGTAATTAGAAGTTATACCCAGTGTTGTCCAGTCCCTTAGTTTTAATTCTAGCTTTGTCTTACCTGCTCCTTGACTGAGGCCATGATGGAGGACGTGGTCTCGGATTCAGATCTGTCTCCGTTGGATGAGGGCATCACCGGAGGCACCATGGCCCCCTTCTCCTGCTCGGCTGGTTGGTCGGGCACTGGCATTTCTGTTCACACAATCAAAACAGAAATATGAATATCGGTATACAGCAGAGTATATTTTAGCGTCTATGTCACTTCTAAATAATGCATTATGTTAAAGGGGATGTCAACCTATATCAGATTTCTTCTAAGAATGAATATTTCTGATCATGGGGCACCGTACTATTATGTAGAGTAAGTAAGGCAAGGCAAGGCAAGTTTATTTATATAGCACAATTCATACACAAGGCAACTCAAAGTGCTGAGCAAAATAATTAGTAATCACAGTACATTAGAAAGAAAGATAAAAATATAAAATCCCTCAGTTGTATGCACAGCTAAACAGAACTGTTTTTAACCTGGTTTTAAACATTGTCAGAGAGGAGTCCTGTCTCACATCTTCAGGAAGATTGTTCCAGATTTTAGCAGCATGGATCTGAAATACAGCCTCCCCATGTTTAGTTCTGACCCTGGGCACCAGCAGGAGTCCAGTCCCTGTGCTCCTCAGAGTCCGGCCTGGTTCGTATGGGACTAACATGTCACTAATATATTTTGGTGCGAGGCCATGGAGAGACTTGTACACAAGCAGAGCTGTTTTAAAGTCTATTCTCTGAGCCACAGGAAGCCAGTGCAGAGACCTGAGGACTGGACTAATGTGGTCGTACTTCCTGGTTCTAGTCAGGACTCGAGCTGCTGCATTTTGAATGTACTGCAGCTGTTTTACAGCCTGTTTGGACAGACCTGTGAGCAGGCCATTGCAGTAGTCTAACCTACTGGAGACAAATGCATGGATCAGAATCTCCAAGTCTGCTTTAGACACTATGTTTTTGATCCTGGCAATGTTTTTTAGATGGTAAAAAGCTGCTGATTTTTCTGATTTGATGTGGCTATTAAAATTTCAGTCTGAGTCAGTATTTATCAACAATAATATATTTTAAAACAGTCCATCCCCTTGGTATACTTCCGACCAGTAAGATTTCATGGTGGATAATAGTTAAACCAATGGCAGTGGGCCTCAATAATTTTAATTAATTTACACCAATCGAGTCGCTGCGGGGTGAGCACTCTCTTTGTCTCTTTGCAATTTGGTCGATATATTGATGTTGAAATGGTCGATGTTGATGTTGATGATGTTGAAATGGTAATTGTTTGCCCTCTAATTCAAACACAAAATTAGCTTGAAGATTACAAATTATGTGGTTTATTAGAATAATAATATAATAATATAAGTATTTCATTAAAAAAAACATTATTTTTAATTCTTAAATTATTCTTAGGGTTACTTACTTGTCGACAAACTCATTTCAGATGTTTTGTCAGCACTGTCCAATTAGTCTCACAAATAGCTCAGAGCCTTCGTGTTTAAATGGTCACAAGTGTTAAAATCTCAAACCGGGTTATAGCTGGTGGCGTCGTGAAGCTCAGCCTTGTCTTGGCAATTAGTCCGCCATACACACTCCAGCGCATCATGCTCTCCACCTGTGACTGTGTCCCTTAATAAACACAAGTCCGTGTAGACTCATTAAAATGTGATGCTTCACTTATCATGCTTTTAATTACTTGATACAGGTTACAGAGAAGGATGGGTGGCAGTTGTATTTAAGTGGGGCAAATTCATATCCGAGTCACACATTCCTTTGTGCTTGATTGTATTAAAGTGACTGACAGGTGTAAAGAAAATACAAAAGGATTTTCTCTGCAGTAAATAAAGCTTACTGAGAGCAAATTTGCCAGGACCTTTGCTCTGTTTTTTCCCCCAGCATTAATTGCACCTATTTAAATAATCGATAAAAAGCATCTTATTCTCCGGCTCGTGAGCAGAAAGCACGCACAATGAGAGAGAAAAAGGGTGAGAAATCAGCAAATTGGTCTGTGGGTTTAACAGACAACAGACTATGGGGACAGGATTTGTCAATAGTGCATCCCTGAGTTTGGCAGAAGACTAAATAATGAACTGATTGAATTGGGGATTTAAATCCATTTCATTTGCTTCTCAAACACAGTCAACATTTGATGTGACAACAGGATTGTGTGCACTCTCTGATTAACGCTTTAGATGTAACATATTATACTGGTCAAATTAGGACGCATATTCTATAGACTAGTTTCACACTAGTTCAAACCTTTGATATATGAATGGAAAAACGTGTATTGCAATGTAACCCATTATCTCTGCTTTAACAGAATAAAATGCAGTTAGTAAGAAAAGTAAGTATGTAAGTAATCCTCATATATCAAAACCAAACTTTCAAACCACAAAAATTATGAGCTACATAATAACGTCTGAGTAACCTGTTCCTTGTTCTCAAAACAGCTTGGATCAATCACTATGGAGTATATTTGTGCATGTATTTTTCGCTTTTCTTTTGAAACAGAGAGGGCCATTGTCACTCAGCCAATCAGCTTCCAGACGAAAGCATCAAATAGTGACTCACATGGCTCCTTCTTTCAAGTATGCAAACAATGTGCTTTCTAATGAGATCAAGACAGCATGACATGGTCTGATTGGCTCATATTTACTTTTACAAGACTCTTTCTGTAGAGACCAACAACATGTATTAATTATGAAGATAGGTACTCTAGCTTTAAACGCAGACATAAAGTGGTGGTGAGCGACTAATGTATCCGCAGTTGCCCTGAAGTATCGTCTGAAGGAAGGACGACCACCAATCATTCATGCAAACACAGATTTAACAGAGGCTGAAATTAATGAAGACAAATATAGTTCATGTTTTGTTTGATTTTCTGAATTTGCAGCGTACCCGGCATAAAAGGTTACTGTGTTAAATGCTTAGTTTTAAAGCCAATATTTATTTAGTTCAGACATTATGGGTCTTTGAGAGTAAGTGAACCATTAGTGTCGACAAATGGTAAACAAGTGTGCAGGGCTCCAGACAGGCTGCAAATCAAACATCCAGAGAGTCTATCACGCAGCATGCGCAGCACTAGACAGACAGCAGGCCAAATAGGGTGGTGTCTGTAAATAAAAGATGTTAGTGAGATAGCCCACAGATGGATTTTCACTCTCACTGACGTCTGGCATCCCCCCTTCTGAGTGAAGATGAGTCACCAAAGTTTGTCTAGTAAGCGAACCAAAACCCCCTTTGAACAGATATGAGACGGACTGGACCTGTGCCATATCTACATCAGAAGAGGATGACAAGCCGCTTCCTCTTTAGTCAGCATAAAAATCAACATTATGACAAGCAAAAGTTAATGTGATTTGTAATCTATATATTGTAGCACCTGTTACTCAATTTGTGTGAGCGATTTTATTACAGTAATAAAAAAAGAGACATTTTTTTGTATGTGGTTTCTCTAAAAGTGAAAGTTTGAGTATCTCACATGTTGTTCATTTTATTCTATATTTCTTATAACAAACAACATAACTGATTCATTTTATATCATTAAAACAGCTCTTTCTAGTGGAAGCTTGTACCCAGTCTGCAATGGTCTAAAGTGAATGATGGTGATGAACTGGCAACACTTTGACACAAAGGAGGTACATCTACAAACATGAATGTTACAATTAAGGCTACATTTGGATTGTCATAATGTTATGCACTATTTCATCAGAGTGGTGTTCCTCATATGCATAACTATGAAATAGTGAAAAACTGCTTCAACAATGTTTTTTTTTGACTGGGAGCATTATACTGTATGTTAGGACTTAGCTCTGCAAATTCCTGACAACACTCATGACAGTAGTAGGCAAGGGAAGGTATGACTAAAAACAATGCTTTGCCAAGAAATTCACAAGTCTGCTGAAATTTCTCAAAACAGCAAACCCAAACATGCGACAACCTTGCCAACTTTGCATAAAAATCTCCTTGTGATGGTTGAAAATGTAATATATACTTTGAATCTTGTGCTTATTTTTACAGTAAAACTTGTTGAGCAAAGCAAGACATATTCAGGACACATTCGTTTCTGGGTGTCTCCTCCTAATTGATATTTCTGGGTGTCGATACACTGTATTTTTCACAGTAAAAGCTTCCCCGGAACCTAAATATTGCCATTAAAACTTACAATACTCAGAGTGTACAATTTTCAGTCTGTTCTATTGTATGGCGACGGAGTTGAGCTGGTATTTAATAGATGCACTGTGCCCTGCAGGGTACAATGTAGCAGGAACCTACGCTCACAAAAGGCCTTTGTACCTCTGGGGATGAATATAATTGAAGCGCATTCTTTCTGGATTGAGTTTTGTGCGACTTCAGATTGAACTGAGAACGAATGATAGTCTGACATTTCATTTAGCTTAGCAGAGATAAGACAGCAGAAGTCCAGGCATGGCGGCGTGTTTTTGACAGCACCGTGAAGAGCTAGCATAAGTGCACAAGTCATCAGCTAATGTGTAAACCTGAACCATCCGGTGGAATGACAGCACAGAGTGTTGCACATATTGGGATGTCAAAATGGCATGTCTAGAAATGACAAAATAATCGTTAAGTCCAAGGGAAAAATATAAACATCAGAGATGGGCTAAAAGTTGTTTTGAAGATCTGCAACATTTCAATATGAACACCCTCATTTAGAAATAGATATGATCTTTCAAACTCGCATCAGTTTAAATTCATGTAATTTTGTGGTTTGTTTTACATTTAATGTGAAAGTTGAACCGTATCCAACCCATTTAGAACAATGTTTTAGACACTATTATTACTACATTACATATAATATAATCGTAAATTATTATACATTTATACTAAATAAAATATATATTTAATTATGAGAATATCCCCCACCCCAAATAAAAGGTTGAGAATTAGCAGTAGCATTGTCCCAATCTGATAGATAGGTATATACATAAAGTAATTAATTCACAAATTGCACAAACAATTATCATTCCAATTTGCCAATGCAATAAACACTCCAAAAAACTAGGAAAAAACAAAGAATGGATAAATTGTGAATTCAAATAAATGGCTGTTCACTTTGTTTTGTCCATAGCCTCAATAACCAAGACCTTCCTGCCACAGTAACAGCAACCTCCTCCCTTTGACATTGTGATAACACAGTTG